GCCCTCTAAAAATAAGCTCCCTGAGGTCAGGGGGTCTGCTTGTTTTGTTCACTGATGTATTCCCAGACTATTCAGGAATAAAAGAAAGAATCAGATTTTCATGCTATCCTACAGATAAAGCAAATATATAGAAAGAAATTGGATGGTGAGGCTGATTCAAGAGCGTGGACTCAGGAGTCAGACCTGAATAGGTGGCCTGTGGTCATCTGCTCCTGAGTGGCCTCCGAGTAGGGTCTCAGCTTGGCGCCTGTGGCTCAAGTGGCTAAGGCGCCAGCCACATACACCTAAGGTGGCGGGTTCAAATCCAGCCCGGGCCTGCCAAACAACAATGACGGCTGCAACCAAAAAATGGCCGGGCGTTGTGGTGGGTGCCTGTGGTCCCAGCTACTTGGGAGGCTGAGGCAGGCGACTCGCTTGAGCCCAGGAGGGAGGTTGCTATGAGCTGTGATGCCACAGCACTCTACCCAGGGGGACAGCTTGAGGCTCTGTCTCAAAAAAAGAAAAACAGCAGAGTAGGGTCTCCAAATGCAATGAGAAAAACTCTGAATTAGAGCATGGGCTTTCATTGACTCCCCCATGACTTTCTCATTCTTTGTCCTTCACCAGGTACATTGTTGCTGTGAAAAGAATCGATCATGTCAGAATGAAAAGAAGCTCTCTGTGCAGACTGCTATCTGTGGAATCTTTGAAGAAAAGAAAATAGCGTTCAATTCTGTCGTAAGCAGATTTCCTTGTTCCTTCTGTAAAATTTAATTTTCAGTAAAAATTTGTTAGGTTATCTTATTCATAAATCCTCTTGAAACATAGGTCACAGCTCAACTTATCTGTCAAAGGCAGATTATAACCTGCTCTGTAAACCCCTTGAGGGTAGTGCTTAGGGCCCTGGCTCAGTGTGTGGTGCATAGTAGGTCTTTACAGAACATTGGTAGAGGAAATGAATTGGTCAGAAGGTTGCGAGAGGATATAATGAGACAATATAACTATTTGGAAGTTCATGCAGTTTGATTCTCCAAATATGATATGTCTGTACACTCCTATGAAGTGGGCAGAGATGAATCTCATGTTTCCAAGGCATTAATTATTAATTTTTTAAAAAGATAATCTGTGCAACACAAACTCTGGAGAACATAAGGTCCTTATTAGAGCAGAGAGGTGAGGAGCTAGCACCTACAAATGTTTTTATGTCAGCTTTGGCTTAAAGATAGTTCAAGACATCAAGAAAAATGTGCATTCTGAGAAGTGTGCATGTGTTTTGTTGTTCACCCAGCCAAGTACAGAATGTGAACCTGAGACTCAGCATCTCAGCTGATAAACCAATGCCTCACGTATTCTGCAAAAATCTTGAATCAATCAAAGAGAAGCACTGAATTTATTTTTTTATGACTACATGACATTGTGTCTGGTACTTATGAGAAAAGTGCTTTTCTTTTCTCTTTTTATTTTTATTTTTTTGAGACAGTCTCATGTTGCCCTCGGTAGAGTGCTGTGGCGTCACAGCTCACAGCAACCTCAAACTCTTGGGCTTAAGCGATTCTTTTCCCTCAGCCTCCCAAATGGCTGGGACTACAGGTGCCCGCCACAGCACCCGGCTATTTTTTGTTGCAGTTGTCATCATTGTTTAGCTGGCCCTGGGCTGGGTTCAAACCTGCCACCCTTGATGCATGTGGCTGGCAGCATAATCACTGTGCTACAGGCGCCGAACCGAGAAAAGTACTTTTCACACCTCCATATAGGACAAGAAGTTTTCTGCTTTTTTGGTTGGTTGGGTTAGCATTTTGTAATTTAATAGGAAAGAAGGAATGGAAGGGATACTCTATACGGAAAATATTTATGTTTTCAGTAAAAGAAATACACGCAGGGAACTGGAAGGAGTTTTTGATTTTTATTACTGTGATGTGTAACATGACTAAAAGGTGCTTTTCTTATAACTGTAACCAACCTTCGTTCTTTCAGGGGATCTTTTCTGGATCAAGCTATGGTGAAAAATGTTTCGGAAAGGCAAAAAACGACACAGTAGTAGCAGTTCCCAAAGTAGTGAGATCAGCACCAAGAGCAAGGTAGGGACATGGAGTTTGGAACAAAATCGTAAAGCAGTGAGAATTTGCTTCTTGTAACTGACACTGCATGCAGGAGACTAACGATGGTCAGACCTCCTGATATTCTTCAGATGAGATGTGTCTTAACATCCATTTTTTGCACTAGAGATACATTTTATGCCTGGCTTAATTTTGTTTTGGCAGATTTTCTGAAAAGTCTTAAATCCGTTAAATGACGAATGGTCTCATTGATAGAATCACTGCTTTTAAATTTTTTTAAATAAAGAAATTAAAAAATAAATAAATAAATTACCGGCATTAAGGGGCTGGGATCTCTTGAACTCTAGGCTTCATAGTATGCATAACATGTTTACTTAAAAGTGAGATTGGCAAATACCTGAAAACCAGAGAGTTGAACATTATTGGAAGATATCTGTGGTGAATTTAATTTATGCAAAACAAACCTTTGAGGATCTTCAATTGGTCTCTTTGGTCTCCTATTCAAAGATTAGGGTCATTGTGTTTGCCTGACAGCATTTTCCAGTATAAGATTATAAAGGGCCAGAGATGGCAGCAGTAAAAAAAAAAATAACACTTTTTAAAAAGATTATAAAGATAATAGCTGAATTATATTTGTTCAAGGAATTTTGGGTTTTTGACACCAATTTGTTGTTGAGAAGAATGACATTCTTTTCCACCTCCTGGATGATGACACAGGAGAAGTCTCATTCAGTAAACGTTGTTTTGGGCGCTCTAGGTGCCAAGTTCTGTACTAAGTGCAGGTGATAGAGCAGCTAAAGGAAGTAAGAATCCTTGGGCTGGCAGAGCTGATGCTCCAGCTGAGGGAGAAAATAATGAATATGTAAGTAAAATACAAACTATCAGGTGGTGGAAACTAGCATAGGAGGAAGAAACTGCAGGAATGGACAGGGCGGGAGGTTAGGAGTGATGCAGTTTAAAACAGCCTGGGCAGGAGACGTCTATTCCCTAGATGGCATTTGAGCAGCGCCCTGAAGGAGAAGGGAGCCATGATGAGATCTGCAGGAGAGCAACTTGGAGAGGAGAGAGCAAAAGCAAAGGCCCAAGGGAGCAGCGTGCCTGTGTGTTTGGGGGACCCCAGGGAGGTCAGCATGATGAGGGCAGGGTGCGGGACAGAGGCCCTTGTTGGCCCAGAAAGATGGTGGCTTTTACTCTCTGTGACCAGGGAGCATCAGGGCATTGGGGCAGGGCAGTGATAGAATTTTATGTTATGTTTAACTGGGGTCACTTTGGCCACTGTAAGTGGAACCAGAGCAGGAGCAGAGAGACCAGCTGGGAGGATGCTGGGCTCAGAAGGGGTCATGGAGGGAGTAGGAAGGAGAGCCGGGGTTTGGAAGGGGTTTCCAGGCCATATTGGTTAGACTGGCTGTGGAGTATGAGAGAAGGAGGAGTCAAAGTTTAAACCCGTAAAATAACAGTTGGCTGAAGTATAAAGTAGAAATGTATAAAGTAGAAATGACTTCTACATACTTACCTCTTCTGACCTTCCTGGTAGGTGCAGGAACATTGGGGTAGTGGGTACCACCGTGATCTAGCTGTTTGGTGTGTAGGTTAGAACTTGTCTGTGCTTGTCCCTGGTGCTCAGCACTGTACCAGGTGCTTGGGAAGAGGACCTGTGGAAGAGGTCCTCCAGGAAAGCTGATCCTTCCAGATATTTCCATCTGGATGCCAGATACCGTTTGAGCCATGATTTTACAATAAACAGGAGATAGTCTAGACACAGTTAATGAAGTTGTGTGGTATAATGACAAATATTAGTTGACTCATTCAGAGAATGGGAAGATTATAGGGCTGAAGTTATAAAGGAATTTGTATTAGTTGGGGTCCTCCAGAGAAATAGAACCAGTAGGATGTGTTTATATCCTAGAGACAGAGAGATCCGATTTATTTTAAATACTTTATTTTAAAGATTATTTAAAAGACGTGGCTCATGTGACCATGGAGCCCTCAAGTCCAAAGTCTGCATGGCGGGTGGGTAGGCCGGGGCCCAGGGCGGTTGGGTTGAAGTTGCAGCTTAGGTGCATGGGGGACCTGGAGGTAGAATTTTCTAAGAGGAGGGGACCTTGTCTTTTTTCTAAAGGTCGTCAACTGATTGCACGAGGCCCACTCACGTTATAGAGAGCAATGTCCTTTACTCAGAGTTTCCTGGTGTAAATGTGAATCTCTCCCCCCAAACACCTTCACAGCCATATCTAGGCTGGCATCTGGCTGGATAATCTGGGTACTGTAGCCCAGCTAAGTCAGTATATTAGCCATCAGAAAAGTCTTAAAAAAGTGGGGGAAGTGAATGGGGACTTAAAATGTATGGGTAGAATATGTGTAAATGAAGAAGTTTGGACATCCCAGTTATAGGCAAGAAGATGGGACTCAGCCTGGTGAGGTGGTTGGGTGGCAGGCACCTAGAGGAGGAGAGTTTATAACGAGGTGGGTGGGTGGCACTCCATGAACAGGATCCTGGCGGAGGAGAGTATTTGAATTTGAAGGGCTCTCAGAATTACCTAGCCCAGGGGGTCACACATTTTCATTACTGAAGAGCCTTTTTATTACTTCCTACCCTTGTGATCTCTCTAATAAAACAGATTAGATGTTTCCTCAATGTCAGGCCCCAGGCGAGGCCAGTGAGGTACATGGGGCAGAGTCTCTCAGGGCTGTGGAGGTTCCCCTGAGAGATGACTCTTCTCCTAAGACCATGTCCTGGGCACCCACAGCCTCACCCCGTTGCAGACAGCACTGTTAGATAGTAATGGCCACCCTCAAATGAGGAGAGTGAGTGGGACTGCCCGGCAGAATGTCCCATCTGGGCAGGGTAAGCAGTGTGATTATAGCTGAGTGGATGGACTTCAGCCAGAAGCACAGAAACTTGACAATTTAGGAATCCTGTGCAGTCTTAGAAATTAACCATTTTCTTTAAAGTTTTTGAACTCCTGGAGCTAGTCAACAACATACACAAGCTCCCTGCCGCTGCTTCATAGCCCAACAACTTGCATTCTGGATTAGAAAACAGATGGAGATGTCAAGGCCTGCTGCTGCTGGGCCAGGAACAGCACCTACACCTATTCCTGCTGGGCCAGGAACAGCACCTACCTGATTCCTACCAGGACCTTGCTCATGGCTCCTGGCTCAGGCACCCAAGTTGGACAGGGCCTGGGGACTGCAGAGTGTACCATGCCAGGGATGAGGATTTTATCTTGAAGATGCCGAGGGAGCACTGAGTGCTTTTTAAGCAAAGTTGCAACTGTTAGATTTGTGTTTTAGGATGATGTAAGCTTGTGTTTCCCTAAACATAGGGAAAATAGATCAGTTTCTCCCTTCCTGTCCTATTGCAAGGTCACCAGGTCCTGCCATTTTCCTGGTGGGCTTTGTTCCTTACTTCAGAAGCTGCACTGTGCACATCCCAGGAGTGTCTGAATTTGTAATAGTGTCTTAATTCCAACTCCTCTGCCCTGCCCATTGAGTGTTCAGAGTATGCCTGATTTTTCTGTGATTTTTCTGTACCACACATGGTTCCTTAGTGCGTACAGCTTTGTTCTCATTGTAGGTCGTACCCTAAGAAGTCCAATTATTGGGAAAGGGAGGAAACATACTTAAGACGATGCATTTTTGCATCTTCGATTCACTTCAACTTTTGAGTACTTCTAAAATTTATTTTTGAGTGTCAGAAAAGTGATTCATTTTTAAAATCAAAAGTTATTTCTAGGCATGTGTTATTGCTAAGGAAATTAAGCACATTGAGAATATAATTGTGTAGAACAAATCCCACTTCTATATGTGATTCTTTGTATTTCGCTTAACAGTTCTGTGGGTTTTCGTGGCTGTTCACGTTGATAGTTGTGTTCTGGTCTGAATTACTGCTGTGGGCCAGATACGCCAGAGTGACTGCAGGAGCACTGAATTAGGAATTAGGAGACCTGGGCTTGAGAGCTGAGATATTTACTAGCTGTGACCTTGGGTAAATCACTTACTACCTCTGGTCTCTTTTCCTCTTTTATTAAACAAGGATAATAGTCCTTGCCTGGCTTTCTGCACATGGTTTGTTTTGGGATCAGCGGAAAGAGAGGCGAAGCAGTACATGCTCTGATGCACGCCCATGTAGGTGAAAAACTCAGTTCAGTTCAAGTGGGGGCAGGGGTTGGGGTGCTCTCACTGAATGCGCACTGGGTGGGAGTGGTGGGACATAACCACAAGAGGGACTCTACCTAACAAAATCAAATATTTTGACCTGGCCCTGGTTGTTTGTACCCTCACATTAACCTGAAATAAATTTACTCAGAAAAAGGAAAAGAAAAGAGAAAGAGTAAGTGCCCTGTGAGGGACTAACCCTTTGGTTTTTAGAAATGTGTCTGTCTGATGTTGTGAGGGTTGCTTCTGACCCACTGGAACGCTCAAGAAATTCCAATTATAACGAGATAATTTGGTAAGGACAGCAGAAGCATCTGTGTATGTAACCTTTCAAGGGAAGTTTACAAGTCTATTGTCATTATTTGCAGCTGTTAAGGAATAAGGATCACAAAAAAAAAAGGGAAAGCAAGTTCTAGAGTTTCACAAAGGATATTAATGTAAAGCATCTTATCAGGAGGTGGAAAAAATGACTTAGACTAAGAATATTGCCACCATATTTATCCAATATTGTGCTATGGGAAGAGCAGTTGGGATTGTGTGTTTTTCTGATGTTTGCTATAGAATTTGTCTTTAGAAAATGCTGTTGCAGGGTGATGCCTGTGGCTCAAGGAGTAGGGTACTGGTCCCATATACTGAGGGTGGTGGGTTCAAACCTGGCCCCGACCAAAAACTGCAAAAAAAAAAAAAAAGAAAGAAAGAAAAGAAAATTCTGTTGCAGTCGATCTGCCTGAATGACCTGCTTCAGCTATAAGAAGTAATTTGATGGGTTTGGTAGTAAACTTCAGAGTAGCTTCTTACTATGTGTAGGCTTTTTGTTTATTTGTTTTTTTCTTTCTCAGTCTGTAGATTCTAGCCTTGGGGGTCTTTCACGATCCAGCACTGTGGCCAGCCTTGATACTGATTCTACCAAAAGCTCAGGTAAATAAAAGGGTGGATCATTGATTGTCTCAGCCTGTGCACTTTTACCAGGGTCACACGAGTTCTTGTGCATTTGCAGTTTTCTTCTTTGTCTCTGCCACTTTTGACAAGAGTTTGGAAATGGGCCAAGATTCGGTGGGAGGTGACTTGAGGGTATGGTATTGTCAAAAACCACTGCCTTGGAGGCTGGCTTAGGCACTCTGCAAAATGCTCTTAATAGGTCCTGGAGCAAAAATGTTTGAAAACACTGTGGGCAATAATGTCTTTTTCTTTCTTTCCCTTCCTTCTCTCCTTCCCTTTCTTTTCTTTTCTTT